CTTCCCTCAGGATATGACGGTGTCCAGATTTTCTCTCCTTCTAAGCTCACCAATTAGATTGGATTGGGGTCATTCAAATGACTCCACTTTTGTTTAATTACCTTTTTAAAGATTGTATCTCCAAATGCAGTCACATTCTGTGGCATTGGTGGATGCAATTTTAATTTTTGAATTTTGGGGTAACACACGAGGCAAAGGAAAAAAGAGAAAGATGATGTGGAAGGCTACTGCATCAATCAAAGGGCAAAAAATAGAGGTCATGAAAATCAATCATTATATGAACTATATAAAGAATCAGGAAGTTCTTTAAGGCTATCGCATGAAAACCTTCTAATGACATTTTAGATTTGCTACTGTTCTCCTGATAGTGACTATAATTCACGTATAATGCCACATAGCTAGAAATTCAGAAGTTTGAATTTAAACATATATGTGTCCAGTTCCAAGGATCACATTCTGTCCTCTATAATGTGCTTCTAAAATATTCAATTTTATCCACTTCTTTATATAGTACTAAGTGTATAGAAATGATCTTAATCAAAAAGTCTGTGATTAAAAACTTAAATAGTGGGAGATTATATATGTTTTCTTAAAGAGATCTTGAATACTTAGCTTGTCTTTGTACCAAATATGTTTCAGTAGCAACTGGACTTCAAATAAAGGTTTTTGGCTTAATAGTCGTATATGTTGGCTCTATTATTTATTGGATTCCATAATAAATTCTGTGGGGAGTCAACAGGATTGGCTATCTTTTCTTTGATGGAATTTCCCATGATGTTGAGAAGAAAGGTGATACACACATAAAAATGGGATATTTGAAGTGTACCAAATGAGTAGACTGACAATTAGCACCAGGGGAGTTGGGAAAAGGAAAGTGGAAAATCACTTCAGGGTTACAAAAAGTAAAAATAGATAAAGCTTAACTTCCAAGAATCTGTACATATTCAATCATCAAATATGCCAATGCCTCACAAGTTCAAGTTTACAAAACTAGACAGTCTTAATTCCAGGTCTACAGAAGTCTTCTCTTTTGAAGTACTGTGAAAATCTTAGCCTAAGAGTTTAAGGTTTTCAAAGATTGCTGTGGTATACTCAGAGAGCGTTCCGTGTTTTGCATTCCCAGGAATCCTCATCTGTCCATTTGCTTGCTTAACTCCTGAATCAGTTGGTAACTGTCAGGCATAATTACAGGAGGAAAGTCTCCCTCCTGATTCACTTCTTTTCTTCTCCCCCTGCCCAGCTAATCGAAAATATATTAAGCAAATATCGATAGATTAAATGTAAAGATATAAAAAGTGGCAAAAATCATAATCAGATGAAACACTTGTACAAAATAAGATGATTTGGTGGTGATTTTTTTCCCAGTCATTTCCCTTGGGAAACTATGGGATGATGTGTCCACTCTTTTATGGATTTTTGTTGTTGTTATTGAATGGCTTAATCACTTGTTATGAGTGACCCCCTACATTAAAAGTGGTATCAATATCAGTCTTTTAATGACTCTATATTACTTTATTGGATAATCATATTATAATTCATTCAGAAAATGCTTTATTGTTGAACATCTAGACTGATTCTGATTGCTTCCTCTTATAAAAATGCTATAGGAAATATCTTTGTAGGTATCTTTAAGATGTGAAAAGGCTAAGTCAAGAGTTATGAATAAATATAGTAAATATAGTCAGAATTCTCTCCAGAGAATATATAAAAAAACATCTTTTTATTCCAGGAAATAAGAATAACTGCTTTATATATATATACTTCTGAGACTTCTGGCACTTTTTTGTTTGTAAGATTTCTTTTGGTTGTTTATTGGGTTTTTTGGAGGTTATTTTTGCTTTTTGTTTTTGTTAAGTAGGTTTCAGAACTACTTAGTATTCGGTGTTCGTGGATATTTGAAGAATAATTTCTCTCTTTGGGATTATTTCTCTAACATCTATAAACAAATACCAGTGTATCCATTCTCTGAAGGAAAATATAAAGCATAGAGAAATTAAATGCTGCTCAAATTCTGAAACTATGAAAATATAACAATGGGGAAAGCAAATAGAAAGTTTTTAGCTACTCAATGACTTTAGCAGCTGGTGGATCCCACCATGCCTATTTTTGCATAGAATGAAAAAGACACAGCAGGTTTCTTTGGAACATCAAACTGAGAAAATTGACTACAGCTTTAACAGTCTTAAAAGAATTTTTGGCAGAATGAATAAGTATGCATAATTGAGAAAAATACCCTAATCTGTGGAAAAAAATAGATATAAAAAGAGGCTAAACAAGAATGTTGCTGCCTATTCTTTTCACAACAATCTTCCACCTGTCCCTGACTGCAATATTTAGCAAATCAAGTCTTAGAATGAGAAGAGAATAGGAGGTTGGGGAGCTTAGGATGGAGGCAGGGAGAACTGTGTAAATTGCAGAGAACTTGGAGACAGACAATTTGATTGACAAGCTTTTGTGGATGGCTGATAGAGGCAGGAAGCCTGGTCTTTATCCCAAATCAGCTACTAACTACTCCTCAGATTCTGGACAAAGGCATTTCCTTTTAGGCTGAGTTTTCACATTTTAACTAAAGATAACAATTATGCCTTTCTGTCTCCAGGGGGTCTGCTTCATATTATTGCTAAATATTAGCCATTATTCTATTGTATAACTAGATCATGAACTTGGGGTTACTTTATCTCATGTCTCAAATACAACTGGAAAATGAGTTAGATGATCATGTCACTTCCAGATTTGAAAGTCTATGATTCTCTGAGAACAACAGCATTACCCTGCTACTGTGGACACTGGTTTGGATATGACTTGAGGTCAACAAATATGAAAATGAAGCATTGAAGCAAAGTGAGGGACAAAAGGAGAGAGGAGAAATAAGTTAAAGTCACCTTTCCAAAAAAAATTTGTTAAATATGCAGTTATAATCTCATTCTTGAGTCATGTAAAAATTAGGATTTGCTGCATAGTCAGTAAAGCTACTATAAAATAGGCATTAGTCCATTTTAAGAACAGCACCTTTCCTTTCAGCTTTCCTTCTACCAACATAAAGCAGACTCATAGATGCTTTTCATTTGCAAATGTTTTACTGTCATCATGGTTCCTCTTACAGTACAGAAAATCATAACAATTTTATCTGTCTTATGTATAAAACTGCGTATGATTCATTTAAAATTGAGAAATGGTTCCATGTTGCTAACTTTTAGCCAAGTCATAATTTCAACCACAAATCAGGTTTGAGTTCCAAGGATCCCATAAAATGTATATGTAGGCATTTTCTTGGAGAGTGTTCATAGTATTGAAAAGATTACCAAAGACAGACTTATTGCAAGAAATGTTAAAAACTTTGCCAAACTAAATTATCTCTTGTAAACATTTCTGCAAGGGTTTTTTTTTTTTTTTACTAATTATTCAGAGACTCTCTAATCTCTGTTATAGTGTAGACCCAAATAAATATTGTAGAGCCTATAAATAAATTGAATAAATGATTAACATTTACTTAACAGTGAGACTTTCACTGATAAAATAAAACCCTAGGCCTCCATATTTTCCTTTATTTTTCTCCATAACATTTGTTATGGTTTAGATATGAGAGGTCCCCCAAAAGCTTAGGTGTGAGACAATGAAAGAAAGTTTAGAGATGAAATGATTGGGTTATAGGAGGTTTAACCTAATCAGTACATTAACCTGATGATAGGAATTAACTTGGTGGTAACTGTAGGGAGGTAGGGTGGGGCTGAAGAAGAACTTTTGAAGAATTTAGAGGAATCTATAATGTTCAATTTACTTTTTTTATGCCCTAAACTCAAATCATTAGATACTTTATCAAATGTGTCTTGAGAATTACTATGTAATGGACAATTTTCTATATATTTTACATGCACTATACCTTATTTTTTTTAAAAAAAAAAAACTCATGAAGTATATTTCAAATCCTAGTTTTAGAGATGAGACAATTAACATCAAGTACATTAACTTGCTCAAAGTTACACAGCTCTGGTGAAGTTGAGATTCAAACCTTTATTTGTGGGAAATCAAAGCCCAGATTTTAAACATGAGTCTCTTCTGCCCTCTGTGTTTTTTTCTTGATGATTGTTTGGAACTCTTGTTTCTGAATCTGAGCACCTTTCATCTAGGTGATGCCCTGGGCAGCTTTCCTGGGTTCTATCTAGCCTTAGCAGTCTGGAATCTCTCAATAGTCTGGCCAAGGAACATTCCTGGTGCAGATTGTCCTAGGACATGGCAATAACCTCTACTGGGTTATATTTCTTCTTATTTTTCCAGGTATACCACAGGATGGACTCTCTAGAACTGGATAATTTTATTATATGACTCAGGCCAACAGCAAAATACCATCGACTGTGAGGATTAAACCTCTATAGGAGAAAATGTTTTAATTCTAGTGACCTTCCATGAGTCTCACATTCTGCTAATCGCATTCTTGGATAACACTCTCTCCCATTGCACCAGCTTTGGTCTGTGTGACTAACTGCATGTGGCACAACTATGCCACTTCAGTGCCGGTTCTTAAAAACATGGCTTCTCTGCTTCCACCTTCAAAGTTCTCTCTTTCTTTCTCTCACTCTCTCTCACTCTCTCTCTCTCTCTTCTTCTTGTCTGTTCTCCTTCTCCCCTCTATTTCTAGCTCTGGTTGAAGTTAGTTGCCCTACAAGGAAGTTATTTAGAAAGCCTACAGAGAGGCCCATGTGGCAAGGAACAGAGACCGGCAAACAGCCAGTGAGAAATTGAGGCCAGCCAAGAACCCTGTGAGGGAGCTTAGGAGCAGATTCTCCAGCCCTAGTCTACCCTTGAAACAAGTGCAGCCTTAGCTGACAACTTGACTGCAACTTCATGAGATATCCAAAGCCGGCACCAGTTAGTTAGCTTTGCTGCTCCCAGATTTCTGAGGGCCACAGAAACTCCGTGAGATTATAAATTGTTGTTTTAAGCTGCCAAATTGTGGGGTGATTTGTTATGCAAAAACAGGCAACTCATATAAACACAAGTTCTCCAATTCTCAAGATAGCAGTTTGTTTCACAATTACGAGAGGTCCAAAGCAAATGTCCTTAATGAGGAGGTAGTTGTCTTTTCCAAGTGCTGATTTAGTAATGAGGCCAATTCTGTCCTGTGGATCCGCCATATTTGTGAGACTTCCAGGTTCATTATTCTCATCTATATAAAGCAAATGAAAGAAGAAACACATGTAGAATCACAAAAGGGACATTTCTTCCACATTTTTTACTGGTGTGTTATAGTTGTAGATATTGATGGGGTTTGTTGTTACATATTCTTACATGTACACAATATAACAAAACAAAAAGGGTCATTTTTAATTGGCCAGAGATGGAACTGGTACATAATTGTTTTTTAATTCATTAGTTAGAACTGAATCTTAAAGGCTTACCTAACAGAAGGGAAGCTGAAAAATATAGTCTATCTGTGGATCCAGTCAGAAGAAATAAAGGGATTGGTGATCAACTTGAGATCTCTTTCAAAACTGTGGCTATTACATTGGTCTCTCTTTTGAACTCCAGAGCAAATATCAAACCATGTGCATAATGTCCATCTTAAAGTATGATTTCTCAATCTCAACAACATTGGCATTTGGTGCCAGAAAGTTCTTTCTGGAGAGTGCTATCCTGTATATTGTAGATTTTAGTAGATTGCCTGGTCCCCATTCACAAGCCACTAACACTTGGGATCTTCAGATGGTGACTGACCTTCAAGATAAAAATCAACTGTTTTATGGTACTGAGACAGTGAGGTTCAACATTTTCAATAATAAAATCATCATCTTCTACAAAAAAAAAAACTCACTTCTTATTATTTTCTCATTCAAGAAATAGCAGAAATTAACCTAGTATTTCACCACCATAGTAATTAAGCTTGACACTGCTATCTTCTTCAACTCACCATAAAAATAATGAAACTCTGCCTGTCCTGCCACCTTAACGTGTCTCAGATTTTTTTTATTCTCTTCACTATCAATGCTAATATATTAGTTCATACCTCTCCTTATTGAAGGTCTTTGGACTCATCTCCAAGTCTTCACTTTTCTCTTCATTTACCCTAATATTCTACTATCAAATCTTCAAAATGAAAACCTGAGGTTGTTTTCCACTTAGTGATCAGAGTCTCCAGCAATTCTAACTTGATTTTCTCCCTAAGCTCTCAAAAAAGAAAAATATAGAGGTAAAACATATTTAGTGAAACAATAAATGATACAAAATTACAAATAACAGCTATAAATAATTGCCAAAGATAGTCAAGTTTGTAAAATTCAGATGGATAAATAGAACCTGTGTCTTGCCCCAGACAAGCTGTCAGGGAAAAGGCTTTTCTAAAGTAGGCGAGGTCCTTCAGTGAGACACAGTCCATATTTACTTCCCTTGGAACTTGGAATTAGTGAGACAAAGTTAACAACATAATGATAAAATTCAGTTTTGAAACGGAGACATAAATGATTGTTGAAACAATATGTCTTTAAAGATGGGCTACAGAAAGGTGTAAAACATTTCTGCAATTATTCACAGTATCAGGAAACTAAATGATAACAAACAAATGGAGATTGCATCAAATTTGAAAGCTTCTGAAAAGCAAAAGAAACAATCAGCAGAGTAATGAGACCTATAGAATGGAGGAAAATCTTTGCAAACTACTTACAGGAAAAGGAGTTGATATTTAGAAAAACTAAGAAACTCCAAACTCAATTGCAAAACAAAACCTGATTACAAAATGAAAAATAGACCTAAATAGACATTTCTCAAAAGAAGATATACAAATGGTCAACAGGTATGAGAAAAATCATTCATCACTAATCACTGTGCAAATGCAAATTGAAACCACAATAACAATGGCTATTATCAAAAGGACAAGAGATAAAGCCGGTGAGAATGTGGAGAAAAGGGAACCCTTGCATACTGTTTGTGAAAATGTAAACTAGTGCATTGATTATGAAAACAGTATAGTTGTTCCTTGAAATTTTAAAAACAAGACTACTATATGATTGAGTGATCTTACTACTGGCTATAAAGCCAAAGAAAATGAATGTAATATATTGAAGGAACATAATGAATTTAATACAGTGAAGAGACATGTCAACTTTATGCTCATTGCAGTACTAATCACAATAGATGAAATGGGAACAACCTGAGTATCCATCAACTGATGAATGAATTAAAAAATGAAATAAATAAAATACCATGTACATATATGCAACAGAATATTATCCATCTATAAAAAATTGAAATCCTAACATTTGCACCAGCATGGATGAAACTGAAGATGATTATGTTAAGTAAAATAAGTCAGGCACAGAAAGGGAGGAACCAGGTGATCTTACTCATGTAAATGCTAGAGAAGTTGATCTCATGGAAGTTGAAAGTAGCGTGGTGGCTACTAGAGCCTGGGAAAGGAGGGATAAGAAAAATGGTTAATCAATGGGCACAAAGTTACAGTTAGATTGGACAGGAGCAAGAAATTTTAGTATGCTATGCACAATAGGGTTGCTATGGAAAACAGTTTTAAAAAGCTCAAAGAAAGAATTATGCAAGCATTCACCATAAAGAAGTAACAAATGTTTTCTGAAATAGTTCTGTTCAATTGATTTCAACTGACAAAGCACATGCAGTTATCAAAATATTACACTTTACGCCATTAATATGTACAATTCTTAGACTTTACATATCAGTAAAAATTTAAATATATTTGTGTGCATGAATGCATGTGTATGTATAAATTAAATTACCCCAAATTACCCAGCATCATTTCACAGAATGTCCCAGGTATACTGTATACCACCATAGGGACGGTCACTATCTTTTTCCTTTCCTCTAGGTTACCACATGTTCAGTGGCCCTATCTTTGCTCCTGTTGATTCAGGAAAACATGGCAGTGAGGAGCAGAAGAAGGAGAATAGGAGGGGTAAGAGAGGATGAAAGGGAAAGGGGAGAGGCTCAGAAAGGGGAGGAGATCATGAACTGGTATCAATTTCCATGCATGTGTGAATTTGTCAGGATGAATTCAACTACTACATATAATTATAAAGTCCTAATAAATAAAAGAAAGAAAAGAAATCTAAGCCACAAGAAGCACTGCACCTGCCAATTTTTTGTCATCTGAAGAATGGATGTATACAGTGAGAGATATAAGGGGAAAAAATGCCATCAAGGTTAATTCTGAGTCACTGGGACTTTCCACTTACAGGAAGCCAAATTAAGTCAAAAGGGGGGTAGGAGCATCAATAAGCAGTTTTAAGACCACAGAAGGAAGCTCAAGCTGCCTATGGTAACTTCCCAATCTCCAGGCATTCCCTACATTATTTATAGAAGAATAAATTATCTGTTCCCAGAAGAACTACTCAATTTAAACATAAGGAGTAAGTTAGAAATATCTATGTAAAATTACCATATTAAAAAGAAGAGAAAATCAAAGCAGACGAGTATCCCACAAGAAAAAGTTTATATATAACTACTAAAAGTTGTAACTAATCTTTCTTGAGCTAAAACATGACATGAAAGAAAACATGACATCTATAAAAATAAGAACTCAAGACACAGACGCAATGGGTCAGCAAAGAAATTGCAAAAGAACAGAAGAATATGAACAGTAAACAAGTTGTTCAGCAAGAAAAAAGGCAGGATGTGATTCCAAACTAAAAGTATTAAGGATTTCTGGATGTCCTGGATTTACATGTGGCCTTTTCTACCCTGGTCGTTTCATTTCTTACGTGGTGGCTATTCGCAAAGTTAATGTCAACACAAAGCTGAAATTGCATGGTAGCAAGGCTTGGAGGCCCCACATCATTTCATTGCATTAGAAAGTTGTGAATAATGTACTAAAGTTCATCGAATTCTTTTGGAAGAGGCCATAAATGGCAGGTTGGCAAGGTCTTATTGTAGAAGAGCACATGGAATGAAAGATGTTGTTTCATCTATCTTTGAAAAAACACGGTTTTTCCAGAGCAAGATATATAGAAGCCATATAGAAATAAGTTTGCTAAACATGGTAGACATCCATCAGTTATGTTTTACAGCAAAAACAGTAGCAACCCTGAAAATAAATCATTTAGGGAGAGAACGGCGGCTAAGAAAGCTACTCTTAACGAATTACTTCATTGTTCAGGACAAAGAGTGAAAATTCAATAAAAATTGATAAATTGAGTAAAACAAGGTATACAAATTTCATGGAAGGTATGAATGCCACCATTGACAAGACTAGAAATAATATAACCAGATGTTGAAGAAGATAGAGGGGAGCTCAGAATAAATGAATTTACATATACTACCTTATTCTAGAATGTGAAATCACCAAGTGTCTAAAACAGTAACATTGAAATCCATTATTGTTTATTTCCCAGTCCATATTTTAGAAGATCCTCCCAGAATATAGAGATAAATTATTTATTTGTATCTGGAATATAAATGAGAAATTTATTTTTATATATTTACTGGGAATATTGATAATTTTACATATGAAAACTATATAATAATTTTTATACAAATATCAGGGCTGTGTTTTGTATTTTTAAAATTAATAATAGTATATGATCAAAAATTTTAAGGATTACTGACAGTTATAAAGTTACCTCTTGAACAATGTAGACTATAAGGTTTTACATTTATGTAAAGGAAATACACACAAACTCACATAAAACGAATATTAAACAATCTTTAATCACAATAAAAATGAGCCAGTGTGAGAAAAATAAATTATAAACATAAGCAGAAACTTTTCAGTCATATTAAGATGGAAAAGTATTCATATGCTAAAGGAAAAGAATCTCTTAGAATAAAACCTAGGAATATATTGTGCACAATGATTCAAAAAAGTTTGAAATGTGAACCATGACTTGATTACTAGAGCCTTGACTGATGTTAAATAACAGTAGATTAAGGCTGCTTTATACTTTTAAAAGAATATTACCAGCATAAATAAGTCATCATTCCTTAAGAATATAAAGTTGAAGTAACAAATTTTAAATAAGTAATTGACTGTAATAAGTACCAAATGTACAAAATCATACTATTGAGACTTTAATAAATACCCTGAAACAAATTTTCTAAGTATACCAATGTTTACTTTCTATAGAACAGAATACTTGAAAAGTATATAGCTGCATAAGCCAAGAAAAAAAAAAAAAACAGAATGAAAATGATAGGGGACAGACAGACATGAGAAGAGGAAACATGAGGTTAAGGGAATAGTTCTATAAAATAGTCTCACTGTGCTAACCTCACATACATTCTTTTCCAAGAAGCAATTTACCTGCAGCCCTGCCTGGCTTAAATGGACAGGATATGTCACATTCCTCAGCAAACTACCTGTTATCGGCAAGAGAAATGCAGGCCCTAAATAATTCCAATAAAATGAACACATTACCCTAAAGAGGGAGTCATCCTTTTATAGACCAGGGGAAAACGTATCTGTACAAACATGTTCCAATTAGAACCAGTGGGCACCAGCCAAAGTAACCCAGAGTTGTCATGGCAATGGGGACTTGAAGTCTGACATCATCCTTTGTCAGTCAAAAGCAGCACCACATGTAAATAAAATAAAAAAAAATTCATCAATAACTAATAAAAATATTTTTTTAAAAAGTCAAGAGGTGGACCTAGGCAAGACTCTATAAACTTCCCTGGGACCCCAATAAACCTAGTGCTCAGGAAAGCCACACTGTCCCTCTCCTTTCTGTGAGGAACCACT